CATAACATTTTCATTTCGGATGCTTGATTGTTGTGAAAGTATACCGGCGAAATAAAATAAAAAAAAAACAAATGATAGGGTGAACGACTGTGTCATTTGTCAAAAATTCAAAACATGGATCATTTAAACTGAAGCAACTGACATGGAATCGAAGCTTCAATACACGTTTTACATGACAACGTCGTTGACGGGCGACAATATTTACATCACGGTGATTCGTCACCGAATAAACACAAACACACCGAGAGCACCCGAGAAAAAAAATCACTTGAAACAATCGCTACATCATCAAGCGACCAGCGAAAAAGAAACGTGACCATAATTCAATTTGATTTATTCAAAACATAAGAAAAAATTCGTATAAATCTTAAATTCAACCTTTCCGTAGAAGAGAAAGAGAGAGAGAGAGAGCGGGAGAAGAAGAAACCGAGGGGGAAATGATGCAAATGGCTTGGATTATATTTTGTCGTCAATGTTTTGTGTTCTTCGACGTGTTTGCCCGGTTTTATTTCATTAGTTAGAGGTAACCGTACCCGAAATGTTCAAGACACATCCATCGTTTGTCCATGGTGACTCGCTTGGTTTATTTGATAAGATACAAACACTCAAATGAGCGGTTGACTTTCAAGAAGCGCTTCAATGAATCATTTTGAAACAGAAGTTTTACGCTTCACTGAAAATAGCCCAAACATCCAAATGAGATAAATAGAGAGAGAGAGAGCTAAAGAGCCAACGAAAAAAAACGGTACACCTTCTGCTGCAATACAACACTCATAATTTACTGGGCAAAGGAGGTGGAAAAAAAATAAGCGAGAGAAACAAAAGTGATTTGACCAAAAAAAAAAACACACACACACACCCGATGATATAATTTTTACCCGAATTTTCCGAATCGTATCGATTAAATCGAAAACGAGAAGAATAAACGTGATTAATAGCTATTGACAGCATTCTATCCAATAAAGTATGTTGTTTTCAGCATTGCTGTCTATTATCTCTGCCCGATTATGCATACACACACGCCGCATTCATTTACATAATGCCACTAATGTTGTGCGCTGTCCATGGCTAATGCTATTCAAAGCCGCGTCTATTTCATGCCTATGCTATGTTATTTTATATTGCATCCATGTTTTTGGCATTTGTTCGATGACATTTTATTCTAATCAAAAACGAAGCTGACGATGACGACGACTACATCGAGAGCCAAATTGAAACGGTAAAAAAAAAAATTATGCCACGAAGATAGCAAAATACAAAGGTTTGTCAACCTCATCACATTAAACTATTTCGAATCGATGCACATCAGATAGAGACACACACACACACACAAAGAGAGAAAATAATAGAGTGACAGAAAGTCAAATGCATGTTTTTAGCTTCTGTATGTATTTTCCATGTTTTCTTTTTGTTTTTTTTTTCTTTATTTCTACATTGGCTCGTTGTTTGGGTCCTCAATTCACGTTTCATTTCTTTTGACATGTAAACATGTTTGATTAGTTTATTACACCTAAAAGGTTTATTTTGAGAAAACACAGACAGCCCATTTCATAATTTGGTTGGGTCGTTCGTTTTTTTTTTTTTTTTTTTTTGTTCGTCTTCCTCGGTTCGTTTATTTATTTTCTCATCGCTTCACACGCAATTAAGTGTATGTGTTCAAACAGGTCAATCAACATGAAAGAAATCAAATAATTCACACCTCTTCGGACTAAAATCATGGTTCGAAAAGCCTTTAGTCGTCGATGTTGTTTTCGTTGTCGTTCGTACAGCAGTTTCATTCTCGAAACGACATAACCCAAACATGAACATCCTAATTTAAAACTATTTTGAAAATGGATTTCTTTTTTTCTGTATCGAAATGGATGAACTCGCTTATTCAGTGAATAATTAGGTTCAAATTATTATTTTCTTTAATTATCATCGTTTTAGGTGAACCAATTCACATACATTCACTCAGTCAATCGTCAACGATGCAATTATCAAAATGCACGGAATCATTTCAATGAACGTAATTCTTCAGCCGATAGTAAGATACAAGTCAGCGACGCCTCAATTGAATTCCAATTACATATGTGATGTATCGAATTATATTTATTATTCAATCGAACTACTCTCGTTATGGAATTTCGATAATTCGAAATTCTCTCTCCATTTCAAATGTAAACCAATAAGTCCAATCGAAATCAGCTGATCTCTCTTTCTAACTGCACTCTACCTCGACTGAGGTAAGGCAGAAGCTCGAAGCTTAAGCGATTGTGGTTGGAAAAAATGATGATTCTGACAGAAGATTATTAGCGATTGATTGGGATTGATTTGATTGACTAAAAACAATATGGTCAAAACGCTTTGGTTTGCTGATAAAATGTTTGATAATTGGCCGCAAATGGATTAAAATGATTGAATTGAACATAATTCCATTTTGATAGATTTTGCTCGAACAACGCACCCGCCATTGGTCATATTAAATAATAATAAGGTAGTTAGTGCGTTGAACCATGAATGATGATGTAGTAGAAATGCAAATAAAAATGAAAAAAAAAGGAACCATCCTCGATTCAAAAAAAAATGTTTCAAAAGTCTTCTTAAAAGCTCAGTCTAAGCTGATAAATGGAAGCACTATTGTTAGTTTGTGCGAGGTTTTTTTTTTCGCAATATTTTCGTTAATATTTCAATGTGAATTGAGTTATCGGACGGTATTTAATGAAGAAAAAAAATTGCTTCCAATAATACACACACAATCAATGGCCAAATGAAATGTCTTCACTACCGTTCATCTCATTCACTATTGATTGTACAAAAATTTCGGATACAAAACGCTGAATATAAAATTCCAAACGAGCAAATGTAATCGAAAAGAGGGAAAAAAAATGCACGCCCGATAAAACTGAATTATGTATAAAAGACAGCAGAAATCGGCTCAATATTTTTGATTTATTTACTCACTATTACGGGGTCAGACATCATCATTACAATGCATCCACCGTACAAAATATTCGGTTCCAAATTAATCCGATTAATTTTTATTCTCGTCTCTCTTCACTTGCTTTCTTTCTGGTTCGATTGGTGCTGTTGTTGCCGTATATTCTGTATGCCAAGTGTGCGCCAGCCAAACAAGAGTGGTTTTGCTCGGCAAGGTATTTCTGTACTGTGTGCGGCTTTAAAAAATTGCTCTCTTCCAAAATTACCTGTTCGCTGATAAATTGTTCTTTTCGGTTTCGACTTGTTCTCTCGCTGTGTGCCTCTCCCTCTCTCTTTTCTCTGTTCAGTTGCGCTTAATTCACTCTGGCAATAGTATACAGTTTTGATCAACAAGTTCTTAAAAATAGGATTGAGCTCATAGCATGACGGCACCACATTCAGAATGAGAATCGAAAGATGGACGAAAAAAGAAAACGCAATCAATACCATAAGGAGCCAAAAGTACAATGAAATGAATAAGAAAAAATCGGATTAAATGACATTTTATTTTTGAGCTGCGAGTAAAGGCGATTTTCTTGCATCGACGACGAAGGCGATGACGACAACAACAACAAAAATTCTAGTTGATTCTTAAGTCGACTATGGTTTTCTCACATGTCGTTTGACATTTAAAAAAATAATATCCACATATATTAGAGGCGGAAGAGTAAACGAATGGAATCGCTGAAAAACGAAGAAGAAGAAGAAGAAGAAGAAGAAGAAGAGATCAAAAGAGTGTCGTTAGCACAAAGTTGGTTATGTCGATGTGCAATAACAATTACTAATGTCAGCGCCAACTTCATTTATTCAACGAAGAGTTTAACCTGAATCGGTTCTTAATATTTTCAACTAATCTTCGTAATAAGAGTATTTTGCTCGAATTTCCTTCGGTAAATTCTCGGAGTTTTCAATTTTGACACATCAAACAAACACACATACATACGCGTGTGCTACTCCAGAACAGAAAGTATTGAGTTGTCAGAGCTTATGGTAAAACGTTTTGTGTCTCGGTTTTTGTGCGCATTTTTGTGCGCCGTCGACACACCATGTTTCCAAACTAAAAATGTGTGTTTCAGCTTTCATTTGGATGGTAACAGCAAGAGGATTTATACATTTATGCAAATAAAAATCTCACCAGTTGAAAGTGACGGTTTTGTGGTTGACATCGATTGCTTTATATTTCGGCTTTTTGCAAACATTTAAGCCCGCTTTTGAGCTGTGTTAGTGTCAAATAATTTCTCTCTCATGTGTGTATATGTAGAAAATCGAAAATTCGCACACTATTTGCTCGTTCTTAGCTTGCTCTTATCGGGCCAATATGCATTGAAAGTGTACATTTAGCAGGAGTGTGTGTGTGTGTTGTGTATGGCATTGACCACAAAAGCCGACTTAATCAATGAGTGTATTTGCAGCATTTGCATTTGCACTTTGGTGAAAATGCACCGATCCTACCTCCTTCCTCAAACCTTTATGGTGTCGTTGTCGTCGTTGTTGCCATCGCCACTACTACCCCGTCCGAACACAGGCTGTACAATCAAAATGGATGTGCACCAGTGCCGCAGTTACTTTATGTTTGCCAAAAACTTCGTCGAATTAAGCACATAACACACACGTAGCACTCGAACGAATTTTGCTCTGGCTTAAGCTTATTATATAAAGCAGAACGAACGTTTTGCGTACGAAAATTGGTTGAATGGAGTTCGAATATTTTCAATGCTAATCTGAATCCGAGTTATGATTGTTGAAAGCGCTCGTTCATATAAAGAAAAAAAGAACAAAGTTTCGAGCTGAACTTGGTGTCGCAAAGTCAGCAAACAAATACCAAAATGGCCGAATCACTTTTGCAGGCTATAGAACATGAGGCAGACATTAAGATATGCAGGGAGATGAATCGAAACAGAAAGAGTTTCTTTGTTGTGTGCGAGAGAGAGAGAGAGAGAGAGAGAGAGAGAAAAGAGGAGAATAGAATAAAAATGAGAATCAATCAAAAAACAAAATGTTTCACCACAAAAACTAATAAATTTTAATCTTTGAATTTGCAGGCTGTCTCCTTGACGGAGTTGCAGCATCAGCACCACCAGATGTACCACCACGAAATCCAACAATGAATCGAATGAATGGTCGTGTTACCGGCAACCCATCTGATTTGGGCGTAGATTTTGAACCATCGTGTTTAGGTTTGTTTTTCTTTTTGGCTTTTTTCATATTTTATTATAATAAACAGTTTTATAATTTATTTTCTTTTTTTTTAATATTAATTTTACTTAGTTCGTACACCGTCTGGATCCGTGTACATTCCAAATTTAAGTAAGTATCTACCTTTTGAGCACTTCTTCAACCCAATTCTGGCATTTTTGCACTTGTGCATGCCAACATACACACATACACACACACACACACACGTACATATCACATAATTCCCCATCAATTAATTTAAACTGATTTAAACGAATGACTGGCTCAGCATAATACATAATAATATATTAATTTATTAGCCCACTCAATTTCACTGGGAAAATTAATAAATCGATTTTGCAATTGTTGTTGCTGTTGTTGTCATACTTTTTTCCACTCGAAATAATCATCATCACGGAAATTCAATTACGTTGGATATTTATGAAAATGTGTGTTGTTGCGAGAACATTTTTTGTTGTTATTGTTGTTTGTTATGAAGTTGTAAACATATTTTTGGCAGTGAGAATGAAGAAAAACCGCACATTTGCGGTGGCAAATAAAGGACATTGTTCGATGAATAATTTGCGTATGTTGCAAATGATCAATTTTGATTTTAATACAAGCACGGATATTTAATTTATCGCCATTTTTGGGATGACACCGGCCCAATGGCTGAATAAGAAATTGTGTATTGATTTCGAACCGATACAAAAATGTCTATATGTATATAATGCATAATAATGAGCCATCAAATTCATGGGCTTAACGCTAAAACATTCCAATCAGTTTGATTGAATTATAATCAAATTTCAAATATTAATGTGACTACTAATGTCACCTGAAGAGCATACACACAACACACAAACCATATACACAAAGTGTGACACTCTTACCAATCGCGACTACAATGGAGGACTACAATGTATGATTACATTTCACACATAATTAGAACATAATTGTAATGAGCCCAGGATGTATAAAATATTCGATCTATTTAATCGGTTTTGTGAGTTATTCACTGTGTTGATGGAAGATACTCATACAATGAACGTGAAATTATCAAATTACCAAGAATTCATATTTTATTAATTATCGACACATTTCACCCGCTTTCGCTCTCTCTCTCTCTCTCTCTTTCTCACTCGACATTAGGCAATCTTCGCCACCTTCGTCACCCATTTCTTCGACTTAAACTCAGAAGATTTAATGCATCTCAAGAGCATATAATATAAATCAAAACTATCAAAATACATAGAGATGCATGAGTTTGCATACTGCAATACATGCCTCCATTTAATTGGCAACATTTAACAATGCACACAATTTGCAACGAATGTATGGCACATTTTTTGATTATTAAATGTCGGTTCTATGATGAAATACCTCTATAAAATGTTCTGAATTCATGGAATTCAAGGCAATATAATATGCCTTAAGAGAAGCACATCAACCGCACGAAACATAATGGGATGTTTTAGTTCCAAAATAACTGCCATGTCTCCATTCGGAGTGAATCACTCCAAATAGCAATTACAATAATGTCTTCTTTCCCAACTCTTCAACAATTCATCCAACAAACCTGAATTTCTTTCTCTGTTTGTTTATTTCGAAATTCTGCTTTGAAAATACCGAATATGTGATCCGATTGATTTATGTGGAGAGAGGGAGAGAGAGAGAGAGAGAGAGAGCACTATACGAACGCCTCTATTTATGGCTTATATAATATTGATTTGAATCAATTATCTAGAACTAGGTGGGTAGTTTCATGAATTTTTCATTATTTCCATTCAGTCGACATACCGTCCCGCAATGGAAATTCATATGAATTTCAATTAGTTATTCTCATTGAACGCAACGTTTCATTGATTTTCTTGCGCTCTCTCTGTGTGTGTCGTTGTTATTTTAGAATTAAATTCGATTTGAACAAGTTTTGGTATGTTCTTTTCTCGAAATTGGTCCTTACCTTGTTTATTTTCATCTTTTAAAAAAATCAGTTTCACACAAAATATGGCGCCCCATCCGCAATTATTATGGTAATTGCTGATGAAATAAAACTGAGAGATGAATCCGAATCGCATTAAATCGAGACTGTCTTTTTTCTTGTTGTTCGCTGTGAAAAATACAAAAAAATTATGAATGTTTGATACTTTTGCTACACACACATACAAAAGCATCAATATCGAAACGTATTCGTTTCGTTCAGAATCACTGAGTTTCCGTTTAGTTCCGCATGATTTGAGTAATTATTTACGGCTGTTTTGTATTATTATTTTTTTTCTAGTTTTGTTTGGTAAAAACCATACAATGTGTGGAATTGTATGAATTTAGAGCGAATGAAACCTCATTCAGAAAAAGAATCGAGAAACGGAAGAGCGAGGGAGAGAGAGAGAGAGAAACGGAGACAAGGCAGGATTCCGTCCGATCGGATCATATTTTTCATTGTTGTTCTGGTTGTTGTTATTGTTATTGTTGCCAGTTGACGATTGGATGTAATATTTTTCAACGAAATAATTTCGCGCTCTGAAAAAGTAAATTATTGTTGTACGGATAATATTGTGTGTATGTGTGAATACTGGCAGCAGCGACGGGGTGCAAACTTCGTCTAATTTAGTGCGTATTTAGAATATTACAGCCGTTATGCTCTGGATAAAGTTCCCTCGAAATGAGCAAAAAGGGAAAAAAGGAATATGAAAAATATACACAGGATCGACTTAATTTTGAAATGTGGTGTTGCTACTACAAAACCAGCTGGCTGACGGGAACTTGTCTTTGTGTGATTTTCGTGCAAAGAAGAGCCACCGTTATTCCCAAGACAAGAATTAAAGTGAGCACATAAATTGACCTGACACTGCACGTACAGAAACACCGAACTCTTGAACTTCATTGGGTCACTTACCCAACTACATCTTGATTTTTTTTTTCCCTCTTCTTCATTCGGTTTAAATCTTAAATGAAGCAACGACGACGACGACGTCGATGAGGAGGAAAACTTCTCATTGCGCGTTCATCTCATCTTTCGTTATTTTCCTTCTCTGGTTTGTGCCACTTCAGAGCAAAATGACGAGAGAAACGGCAATCCATCGAGTTCGTGTTTTCGTATCGGTCGAAACGATGACAATGAACCCGGTAGAGGAAAAAAAAAAAACGAGAATATTTTGAGTATGTGTTTGGTATGCCTCGGTCGATGAGAACAAAGTATCAAGTAAAAACATCGATTTTGTTGTGTGTTGTTTTTTTTCTCTTCAACTCTCACCCCAATATTATTCAATATTCTTCTCTATTATTATGTGATTTGGATGTGTTTAGCAAGTCAGCACACGCGCGACCGATACACACACAGTGTTTAGTTTCGCTTGTGCACCAACCCAGCCAACAAACTAGCAATTTTTTTTTGTTCTGTTTGGCTGATGGTTTCGAATGTTTGAAAAACGAAAAATCGAATTTAACTAAATGGAAAACATCAGCACAAACACACAGCAACCAGAATCGAGTAGACTTCATTTTCATACGATTTTTTATTTTATTTTGCTCGGTTTGTTGCTTTTGTTCATGCTGTCAAGATGTGTATATTTGGGTGATGTTTTTCGATGTTCAAAATATACACTTTATAAAAATCGAGTTAAACGAAGTTTTTCACATTCAACGAAATCACGTATTACTCAACGATTCCGTTCGATGTGCTCAACAAGAATATTTGAATCATAACCTCGATCTCAATTCTAGAATCAATACATAGACACACACTCGCACATACCCAGATGGGATATTGAGAGCAGCTGAAAAACCATCATCAAAATGGTAAATTAATTTTTTTTTTTCGTTTCTCTAACGATTGATTAAAATCACTGTCATCTCAATCTCTTGTGCGCGCGCGTGTGTGTCTCTCTCTCTCTCTCTCCCTCTCGCTCGGTGTGTGTATGTCTATTTGGGAATTGTTCGCATTCAAAGAAGTAGCGGGAACAGAGACGCACGTGCGAGATACGCATTTTGAAGGAAGCACTCAAAAGCATTTCAGCTCAGCATGAATGCCAATATGGGAAAAATCGTTTCACGTACTTTCAAACGAATGTACCGAAACAGCAAACAACATATCAAATTCAAGAGGATTGTATGAGTTGTACAGATGAGCAACAACAACGGCAGAAAGAAAAAAAAAATCATCTCGATATCGCGATATTCAATAATTAATTTGTCAAATGCACACAGATTCTTTTACATTCAAAGTATAAGTTTGGATACTATTTCATCCCGTTCATCGATGATAGCGTTTGTGCTAGATTTTGACGTTACTTTGGATGAGTTAAGTGTGCATTTGTGTGTGTGTGTGTGTGTGTTCAACAAATCCGTATGCCATTTCAATGTGTGCATCATAGAAAATAAAACAAATGTCTCTATTTTGGCGACCCCAATTTCCCAAAAAACGAATTGCCTTTAACAAAAAATGAAAGAAAATTTTTCAACAAATTTATCATCAATAGCAGATGACAATGTAATTTGTTTTATGTGCTCGACTTCTAGTCATTGCTACCACAGATGAACAAAATAGAGAACAGAAACAAAACAAAAAAATGGCCCGTAGCTTGTACCTTCGTGTACGTTTTAGCATGAGGAGAAAACATGAATGCAACAATAACAAAAAAAACATCATGTATTACATATGAATAATTAACTCGGAACAAAGCGAATAAGTCAGCACTTACGATCCTCTCTGAACTTTGTATAATATGTATGTGCGCTGGTTTCGAACGGAAACGGGCAAGTTAGTTGTTTCGGAGTTTTGCATTATATTTTCGTTTGTGTGTCCCGGTTTTGATTTTTCCATCCATTATACGACGGAGATGACGACAACGATGACGACGACGGAGGCAAAATGTGGAAAAGTGAGAAAAGCAATTCTCAAAAAATTTCGTCGTCAATTTATTTAAATGATATGCCATAGCATACCACAAAAATAGAATAGCGCGGTAACCGAAGCAAACGCTGTGTTAAACCGAAAATTATACAGAAAAACATGACTTTAGTGACAAGTCTTGTACATCTCTCTCGGTCTCTGGCACTCTCCCTTTGCGCTGCCGCTCCCGATCAAAAACGATCAAAATTAAAAACGAAAATCCATTGTGTTTTCGTACGCA